GAAAAAAAAAAAAAAAAAAAAAAAAAAACAGCTCCATGGTTGGGGCACAGCTCTCGGCCACACCCCAGATTGGCCACGACCGAGATGTCTCGGCCACACCCCAGATTTTCAAGGAAACGCGACTCAAGGGAACGAATTTTCAAGGGTATTTCTTAAAGCAGCCGACGAATTTTCAAGGAAAAACCAAGACTGCTCGGGAGGATGGATACAGATATTATCAGAAGGGTTTTCAGAGGACGGTACCGGGAATTGGTAGCGGTACCGCCGCATAAGGAGCAACAACTGTGCTCTGAACGGACCAGGAACACTTGCCAAGAAAAACCACTGTGAAAGGCAAGGACTGCATATCACACTGTTATCTTGAAAATTTTCTCACTGAACCCTGGCGGTAACGCCTCCTCAAGAAACGACAACGGATTTCTATTGTAGCCCACCCACCCATGCAAGTAAGCATGCTTCTTCTTACACTGCGATCCAGCTACCTGTAAGTATCTGCTTCAACCTTCTCCGAACGAGAAATCACGCACGGCGACTTTCAGATCTCTGCGGTAACGTTTCTCAAGAGATGATGACGGACTCTCGTCACAGACCACCCAACGCTACAAATCGCATCTTTCTTTCTACACACGTTGCCCCAAATTGGCCTCGCTATCTGTCAGAACCTATCGCAACCATCTCTCTTCTCTACGTGTTTTCTCTTCGAACCTTTACTGACCTTGCTCCCTACCAAATGTCTGCCGCTATTTTCTTTCGGCCTCCCTCATATCTGCTACCCATTACGTTTTCTTCCCTTTCTCCCAACGCGACCACCTGCAATACCCACATCTCACCTCTGTTCCTACCACTTCGCTCAGGTTCCTCCCCTCGTCTGAGTTTTTTCCCACCCTGAACCACTATCCGCCCAGATACACCCCTGTCTCTTATACACATCTAGATGTGTATAAGAGACAGATTGAGGGGAGGGTTAGGAATCCTGGACCCTACCCTACAATGTCAAGCCTTGTCACTACAATGGATGATTGATCTCATTTTAGGTATCGACAAGCCTTGACAACCTTTGGCTCTATAACAAATTAGGAAATACATCCCCTTACTTGGATAGAGAATTTATTT